TATCTCTTCTATTTATGTACTTTGTACAAAAAATGGTTTGCCAATTGTGTTCAATGTCATCATCATCAAAGTTAGCGTTGAATGTCAATGCCACGGCCAAATCGGCTAAGGAAAAGTATCATCATCCGTCCAATACCGTGTGGACAGGGTCGAGGAAAATCAGTCCATTAAACTAAACGCGTCTCACCCAAGCGTTCCTTTAAGCACAGCACATAAAACCTTGCACAACAAGGAGTACGATTTGTATATTACACTCTTCTTCTTGGAGGGGAATGATATGTATTAAATGGCATATTTGGCTGGTTACGTCAATCGCCTCTCCTCACTCCAACCATACATTTATACTCGACCAGACTTGTGTATGTAATGTATGTTGTGCGAGGTTAAATTCGCAAATTCGCGAAATAATAACGCCGTGAATAGTAGACTCTGCCGGATTGGGTGTAGGATGGTGGGTTGGTTGGGTGAGTTGGCGTCGGGTCCGGGGGGTTGAGTTCCCACTTTTAGGTAGGTCGGGTAGCAGAGGGAGACCTTTCCTCAGAAACGGGAGCAGTTGGTTGCGTAGGACGTGGAGGAGGACCTTGAAGCCTCCGTCGAAGGTTACTCCAGCCGCGGCAGAAGGTCATCCACGATACCAAGGTTGGTTTTGCTCCAGAATTCAGGGCCAAGGACGGCACAACGAGCAAACCTTGCACAATATGGACGACCTGGTGGCAGAGAGTGGATCATGAGAATATGAGAGTGATGATGTAGCAGAGAGAGAGGAGAACTTAGATATTGCCCGTCATTAGATTGACGTCAAATGCACGCCTCCTCAATTTCGGTTCAGTCGCATTTTTAAGTACAGAGATGTATGTATGTATGATGCTCGACATTATGGCTTTCACTCTGACAGCCCGACAGCCACAATTTCAGGGTGAATGGATAGCTTACTTTCTCCGGGGTTGAGTATGGCTGCCCGTGTTGAGTGAAGATTCCAATCTGAGTAATGAGGAGGGTTTCGCATGCCTGGCTAATTTTCAGGCTGCGGCGTATATACTAAAGTTTTTAATTTGTGTGTACATACTCAACAGGAATGCAATCCATGCATCAAATTTTGCAGTTTTGCAAGTTTGCAATTTTTTTGCATATTTAAAAATCTCTACTACGTAAATCCAATCTAATCCACTGGTTGCATTTTCCACTTATTTATTGATACTTAACCCCGTAAAAGAAGTGTGATTGATCGATTAGCCAAGTTTATTGGACCCGGGCTGATGATAAGAGAGTCCACACTTGGGAGCAATTTTAGCCAGAGTCAGCTAGCATATGTAAGAGAGAAACTATGCTTTTTTCATATAGTATGACGCCTACGGGTTCTTAGCCTTTCCTCGGACTTTGACTCCGTGGCGTGGCTGACCCTGAAGTTGGGTTGAATAAGAGAATAGGAACTTGCAGTTTGGTATGTTACGTATGTTACGTAAATTATTTTTGCATTCGAATCGTTAACCGCACAATATTTTCAGATTTGCAACCATACTAATTTGTTTCCGGTTCACAATTTCATTCAGTTTGGTATGCAATTCAGTCTGCCAAAATTCGCAAATTCACAAAAAATTAACCGCACAATATTTCTATAATTTATTTCCGGTTCCCAATTTCATTTCCTTACGTATGCACATATCCAAATTTCCCTACCCAATTTCCCCTGGACTACACAATTTCCACGTTCTTTTTACATAACCACAGAAAATTGTCCTTACTGCGTTTCAGACTTCAAGAAAATAACCTCTACCAAACTCTACCTTACTTTTTACGTATCACATGCATTCAATTGTGCCTCCGACATTGGGCTCGTACGTGCAAGTACAACGTTTGCCCTTCTCCACCACCCCCAATGCCACGGGTTGGGCGAGTTTTGGTCGGGACGAAGGGTGGGGAAGGTGGCCGTTGACATTGGGATTGCGTCTCAAGGCGACGTTGACCTCCAATTCGGAGATACCAAGCCCGGCCCGTCCTTCAACACCCGAGTCTGATCCACTTCCCAACTTCCCCAACCTAAAAAACTGTGTCTCGTGCGATTCAAGGAGAGACTATAGTGCTTCTCTCGAGCTCATAAATGAGAGCTCCGTTTTGCTTGGGTCGGGTCGGGTATAGTAGTCGCATGATGAATCATGGTTACATATTTTACTTACATATATGCGACGCTAAGGAGGGGAGCTTGCGAGGTTGATAATAACAGATCTTGATGCCCTTTGGATATGTGGTAGGGTCCCATGAGTGTACTAAAACCCTGAAGTGGTTTGACTCCATGGCCACATTTGCGCCCGCCACACCCACTCAAAAATGCCCATAAAACGCTTTCACTCCAGTTTTCACTCACTCAAATCCACGTCAAAAATCCAATTTTACTCGGATTTTGAAATTTCTTTCATCATTACACTCCCAGATAGTTGCTTACTTCAATCCAATATCAAACCCAATTTTTTCGAAATTTTTAGTATTTTTAAAATTTGAAATTCTGAATGAGGATTGTTGTAGTAATCAACAACTCAAATTACGCCTGCGAAATAATCATCAGCAAAATTGAGTTTGATATGGAATTGAAGAAAGCAACTATCTGGGAGCGTAATGGTGAAAGAAATTTCAAAATCCGAGTAAAATTGGATTTTTGGCGTGGATTTGAGTGAGTGAAAACTGGAGTGAAAGCGTTTTATGGGCATTTTTGAGTGGGTGTGGCGGGCGCAAATGTGGCCATGGAGTCAAACCACTTCAGGGTTTTAGTACACTCATGAGACCCTATCACATATCCAAAGGGCATCGAGATCTGTTATTATCAACCTCGCAAGCTCCCCTTCTAAGTTGCATACTTTTCCTCGCCCAAGTTTTCTCGACTAGTCCATTATTACGCTCAACAAGTTAATACATACACTGACGCGATAAAAAGCAGTAACTTATGTATTAGTTCGGATATCAACGAAAATCCAGACCTATTTGATCCCACATATTTATGTATTCATCTTTTTCTAAAATTTTCCATGAGATTTCATAATTCACGCTAGGACATAACCTGTTTGATACCCCTGCTCGAAGATATATATGAGTATGCACATCTTTTTTTTTTACAAAATTTTCCATAAAATTTCATAATAATTCACACTACTCGTTCCAGAACATGACCTGTTTGACACCTCTGCTCGAATATATGTACATATAATGCACATGTTTTTTAAATTTCCACCAAATTTCATAATTCATATGTATATGTACATACAATATTATGTACACTACTCCTCCGTTCCAGGACACATTTCCCCTTTTTTGTCCAACTTGAACTGCCTTATTTTCCACTCAGTCCGTTCAGTGTAGGCGACTCTGTAAGATCTGCGTACCCGAAGAAAGACGGGAGAGGAAGGTCGGGACATGAAGCTAGCTTTCACCTTGTTGCACAAAATCAATCCAAGTCACACAATCAGCAATACCACGCCACGCTTCGTCCTTGTGTGGTGATCCTCCATCCGGAATGGACTCGCTCCTCCGAGAATTTGTGTGGCGTCGTCTACTCTTCATTTCATTTGCGTCATCCAGAAGTCGTGACTCAGAGATGATGCGAAGTTCAGTTCATGGAATTAGTCAAACGGTACCACTCGCAAAACTCATGGGGCGATGATGCATGATAAATATATTTTTTCGCGTCCGGAAAGTTTTAGGATAACCGGGCCGTCCTTGGCGTGTGGTTTGGTTGGTGACGTCCCATTTATAATAGAGACCAACATAAATCGGATCTGTGGAAGAGTTCATTATTATTTATTTGTTCGGAAATATGCATGCAACGTATGTACTGATTGAGACGGAAGGTTGGACAGTAATAAAAATGCGAGTGTGATAGAAAAGGTCACACATTTTTATGCAATCATCCTCGCAGACTTGTCAGTGTCTGTATGTACACGTATAGTTAGTTAGTACTGCATGGCTGTATATTTAGTAAATAGGTATTGCAGACACGAGTGAGAGGAGGGCAACCTTGCAATTTTTATGTATAAATATAGTTGTCGAGATGCATGAGATGCGACCAATGTGCAAATGTCAATATCAATGTCAGGGTCGAAATGGAAAATGAGACATAGTTTAAAGATACCCCCAATTATTTAAAAAATACGGAACTCACATTAATTAATTAATTACATAACTGTCTGGAAGCTTGAAAATAAAATTTCTGGCAAAAAAAATCCTTCCAAAAATGAGACGAGGGGGCCGTGCGAAAAAAAAACCTACGTAAAAATACTCTACAGGTTGGATCATCTCATCTCATATCATCACATAAATTATCGCAAGCTGATCAACAACCCCTCATCACAATGTCCTTGCACTTGCTATATGATGTTAGCAGATCTCTGCTGAACAAGTTTGCAAGTGTGCGAATAGTGTGCCAAAATGTTGTGGCATTATTTATGCATATATTAAATACATTATTAGGTATGTACTTTGGACAACTACAAAAGCCAGCTAGCATTTAGCAAGGCCGGTGCACCAAGCGCTCAATGCCAGCTCGTGTGTTCAATGTCAATACCAGATTGGATCCAGGGACCTTGATCTTGAATTCTTGACGACGGGTTTCCACGGCCACCGAGGACACCTCATTGCCACGCCAAAAAAGTGGAGTGCACTAAAACAACCGGCTTCTCCGGACGAAGGTCACTTACGGAGATGACCCTCACCTTATGCATGCCTGACTAAATAATAGCTCGATGATTCAGCTACTCCTCCTCGTGCTCTTCATAATCGTGATGGTGATTCAATAGATATGTGGACTAATTATAAATACGGAAAAGTGTGATGTGATATGCTATCATGGGATCAGTTCATATGTATAAATTTGCATAATACAATGTTGTAAAGTAATGATGATACGATTATCCGGAACATTATTTTCATGGTGGTGTCTGCTAAATAAATGGTGTTAATTCAGGTGATGGGAAAATCTAAAATCATGTTAATAAATATCACGAGATAAGTTAGCATTTGTTATAAATTGGAAAAGTTAAATTTATTAGAACATTTAGATTTGAAATGATTTACTCGGAATGAAACTCTTACTGCTTTTTTGCTTAAATAAGTTTGAATCGGATCGCGATAACGCCAAAGGCCGCTTCTTTTTCGGCATAGCCAGGGAACGACCTATAGATTTTGACACCTTCGTCAAGATCGGATACTCCAGGAAGACAGTTTTCAATCCCTTCGTTGGTGAGCATGTCCTTGAATGAGGGGTACTTCACGATAAGGGACACTTTTGCGGGGAGGCGTGTGTTATCATCGTCGGTGACGAACATGATAAAATCGTTAGGTTGCAGATTTTTGTATCGTTCAGTGCCACATCTTCCTTCCACGGTTTTAGCACCACTTTCGATAAGGTGAAAGTAATGCGGGTCTACATTGATTTCCATTTTCTGGAATAAAAATTTTATGAAGCGACTTAATTTAGTTTTGCATATTATGAAATGCTACTTTGTCAACTTACGACTAAATAAATTGAAGATTCTGGTAAAAGAAATGCGGAAATGTGTTGTTAAATTTTAATTTCAATGTTTATTGCTAGTCTGTCGGTATAACCAGTCCGGACGAAAGTTACAAACTGGAATTTCTTGGCAATGACTACGGCAGTCTCACATTAAACATTTACGGTCTAGACAAAGTTAATCATTAGATTAATAAACAAAGATAAGATATCTCTACTAACGAGTATGTAAAATTATTTTAAACATATCCGGTGTCACAACAAACAATGGTTTAATGTGTGTCGTGAAATCATAGTTGTTGCTTGACTCGTCCAATTTTGTACAACTAGCCGGTCAAAAAAATGAAGGAAATTATGGCTGTTAAAACTATAAAGATAAGTCAGCCTCATAATCTTAAAAACTTCATCTCTTATTTTCTTTTAGCAGACGCTGGAACCGTAATGTTGACATCATAATTATAGGCAATTATTATTATACATATCACAGCTATATCAGTTAATAATACTTTTGATATGTGATATGTTCAAAACAAGTCAATAACATGCTATTTATGTACATATATTCGTCAACTAGCTGTCATCCAAAGAAACTTGAGGTAATGGCATTACACTTAATTTAAGTATAAATTCTAAGAGGTACATTTGAAGCCTAATGTCTGCAGCATTATTGCTGACGAAGAATCCAGGAACGCCAGCTTTCTCGAGCATCACCTGCTGGTCACTGACTTTCTGGTCCAGCTGCATTGCAATTTTCATGTCGTTCTGCTTCACCTCCAATTTCTGACGAGCGACCAATTTCAGTTTTTCCTTTTCATAAGTTGGATTTTTTCCATCCTTGTCTTTTTGATGCTGTCGCTGAACTAAAATAAATGATGGCAACTTATCAACCTAGGCATTTACTATCTCCATTTATTTAATCTCACCTCGATGAGTTTCCAAAAGCTGAAGTCTCGTCTGGAACAAATGTTTTTCCGTCACATCTTGAATTTCTTTAAGACCTTTGACAATTTCGAATATTGTGTCGTGTAATAAACAATTTGCAATTCCGCTGAGCAAATCGAGGTTAATTCTTTGTTGATATTTCCTACGACAAGCATACAATTGAAAATCCAAATTTGATACATATGCTGTAAACCATTAAGAATTAAACTTTGTTCTTACGATGGCAAGTCTCGAGCAAGGGTCTGAAGCTTTTCAAGGATGAAATAAAGCCGGTTTTGGAGCTGCTGAGCTTTCTCCACGGCGCTCGAGGATGGAGCGAGGGCCGAGGTCGACATCTCTGCAAAATGGACCCGTACTTAATGATGACCTTAAAGATTATTTTTAGCTGTTAATGCGATAAGATCTTATATTTAGGATTAGGACATTGATAAGGTTAGTTTGTTGTTAAATTTTTGTTACCCAAACAAAACTCCTGAGCGACGATCTACAATGAAAGTGGTGTTTGGCGGGTTGTATTTATTTGCCCCATTGTACATAATCTCAATAATAAACCCATCGTAAGTAATTTTGTATCGATCCAATTATAACATGAATATGCAAAAAATAATTCGCAAACACTTTCTTTTTCAGCAAAGAGGACAAGATAAGGACAAAACTAAGCAGATTGGAACTTGATTAACTGGGGGTATGGTTCACCAGGTTTATGGATTAATTGTAAGTGCAGTATTCAATTCAAATTACTGAATCTCATATTTCACTCAATTTCAGTTAGACTTTCTAAATTCATGTATGAAAATATTGCCACTTCAACATGTAAGGAATGCAAATCTTATTGTTTAACTTATTTTCAGAGTCGGACAATTACGTTGTGATCTTGGATGGGCGTGGATGCCGTGGATCTCTGTCGAATGGTGGGCGTGACATAACAAAATGTATTTCACCTGCGAAATTCACAAGAAGCAATTTACCACCATTGAGGCGTTGAAAGATCATGTTGCAAAGGTTCATCTCGATGAAAAACCAATATCATCATCGTCGTCGCCGCCGAAAAAAGTAATAAAAGCGGTCCCATTATCGTTTTCCAAAATTATCAAAAGATCCACACAGCCACAGAAAGGATCAGGAAAACAGGCATTAAAAATTTGGTTACAGCAGAAGCAAAAGGGAACCATAATTGCTAAGGATCCTCCTCCCCCTCCTCCTGAAGAAACTGTGATACGAGATGAAGCTCAAGCTACTATTTGCACAATTGAAAAGGATTCACAAAATTCTATGCAATGCTACATTTGTGAAAAATACTGTTCAAACTCTGAAACTTTTGACAGCCACCTTCAAACACATTTCAATGGGAACTTATTACCAGAAGAGCCTAGTAATTTAATTGCCAAAATCAAGCCTGACCTGAATATTGTCAAGAAAGAGGAGACTCCAGACAAGAGTCAAGACAATGATGACAATAAAACACAATATTCTCATTCGTGCCACTTATGCTTCCGATGTTTTAAAACTTTTGACGCCCTTCATTCTCACATGCTATCGAAACACCTTGATGAAGAAATTTCGAGTGAAAGCGAAGAAAGCATTGAAGACGATGATCAAGATGATCCAGACTTTGTTCCTCCAGAGATTGAAGATATTGAAGATTTTGAGGAACCAGAGCCAGAAATGCATCCACCAACTGAAAGAATCCCCCAGAATAAAAATACTTCCACACTTCAAACAGTCCAACGCAAAAAAAGACGAAGCATAAGACCCATAAACCGAAATTCAAGCCAACATGCAAATTATATCCCGTACCTCCCTCCAGGAAAATTAATCTGCTATTTTTGCGGTCACATACCAGCTTTTCTATACACGTTTGAGCATCACATGTGGAAACATACATTGGAGCGACCGTATTCCTGCAAAATTTGTAGCAGAGCCTGCCGAGATCAAGAAACACTTGATAAACATGCTAAATCTCACAACAGCGTATCAGACAAAGGTCGTAACTATAAGTGTAAACTTTGCGGGAGTAGTTTTAAGGACCCTGGGACCTTGAATAAACATCTTTTAACACACTCTAGCCATCGGCCATTTGCATGCAGCAAGTGTTCCAATTCGTATAAGCGATTATCAGATCTCAAACGACATATGATGAGCATTCATCAGGCCACAAAGCAATACAAGTGTGACGTTTGTTCCCCAAACAGGGAATTTGCTAGAAGAGACTTTTTTAAGTTTCACATGAAAACGATGCATCCTGGGATAACGTATGAAGAACCAGCGTCTCAGTTTGACGGGATAGAGAAGACAGAAACTTATTTAATTACATGTTATTCTTGTAACATTAACTTTTCTGATTATGATAAGTTTCTCAAACATAAGAGGACCTTCCATTCAAATAACATGGTCAATACGACCCATCGTATTTCAGACAATCCGAAATCCATCAAAAAGAAAATCAGAATGATGTTATCCTCAAAGAGGCTGGAAATCCTGTGAGGAGGAAAAATCAGAAGATAACGACTCTCAACCTGACGACCAACTGGACAAATTAAAATGTAATTTCTGCGATGGTAGACGATTTGGCAGTGATGAAAGTCTCAAATCACATATGGAATTGTTCCACTAAAGCTGTACCCTGACTGAATATAAACTATTAATTAATTGCATAATACGGGCTCAATCAAGTAGGTGAAATATTAGTGTTAAAAAAATCATATCATTCAGGTTCATTCTTATTCATATTTTTTAATGTATTGTTAACCAATTGATTACTAATAATAATAATAAATAGTTTGAGTAATAAAGACTTTACCACCGTTTGGGTTTACCATATCCCGAAAAATTACTATCCAAAAAATTATTATCATAATCCACTACCTTAACACTAAATTTAACTTTTCTGGTGATACACTCAATAAAAAAACTTATTAATCCCAGCCCCGCAAAAAACAAGCATATGACGACAGGCACCCTTAATTTATGAAACGGGACGGACTCTCCACTCGAAAAATATGAAGATCTCATCTCTCTAGCAAACACAACTTTGGCAAATTCCGTACTAATGTTATTTACCCCTTTAAATCTTTGTATTTCAAGTAGTAAATTAATGTCCCGATTACTTTCTCCCCATCTCTGATACATTCCAGATTCGACGAGGCGAGCAATTCCACCGATGAAAATGGGGTCGAAGAAATTCCTCATGATAATCCAAGGCGTTAGGACGGTGTAAAAACTGTCCGCCTCGTTGTTCACAATAGGCAAATATTTCGGAAAGAGGCGAATCGCACTCGTTAACGGGATCAGATCCGCGTCGGCATCCAGTATCGCAAAATTATCAGGAATCATCATACTCTTACCGGTCGACGAATTTAAAAATTGCCCTTCTGACACGTTTCTCGCCACTTCGTACCGAGGCAGGTCCCGAAAGAATGCCGAAGTATTCTTAATTCTTTGGAGAACATTGTACAAACTGTAGTTCTTATCGAGGACATTAATTAATTGGGGAATCACGAGCTCGTGCAACGTCGAGACAATTCTTGACCCATTTGCCCCATTTTGACGATGACTGCTTGTCGTCATGATTGGAATGTCTGACCCCAAAACAAGACCTTGCAAATTCGTTGGAACAGTTGGAAGAATCAAGGACGTTAGACAAGAGTACATCGCCCCTTTGTACAAATTTCCTAGAAAATACGCACTTATCAACCAACTACCAAGGAGAACCAAGGGTGGTCCTCGGGTAGGAAGGTAGTCTGGGGGCTTATTGTTTTGGGAGTGAAAGTGGATTTTGTTCGATTGGTCCAGCAGCGTTGTCACCGTCCAGAATAGGATGGACATGGTTTGATTGTGAATTCTGTCCCTGGTAAAAAGAATCAGGAAAAGCAGTCCGTTTACAGCAATGGCACAGATGAAGATACTGAACCAGGTGAAAACGTCAAAGGGAAGAAGAAGGGCTGCATAATTTCCGGAGTTTGGGACAGAAAAAAGTTTGAAATTGAAACGGTTGTAAGTACAGCCATAATTCATCCAGGAAAATCGGAAGTTTGATTTTTGGATGAAATTTGCCTGCAAGAAAATGGGCCACAATTAATTATTAATTCTCAATGACACAATTAATATCAAATTTTAGTCACCTTTGACCTTAAATATTGGTCAGGGTGATATTAAGGAAATTACTGCATATTATGCTGTTGGCTCACCTCTATTGCTTGACTATTCATTATGTACATGTTATAAACTATTCCATACGGGCTAATTTTACCCAAAGTAAAATTGTAGTGCACCCGAAGCGTTGTTGTCACACAGAACGCCTCAGACATTCCCAACCCTGTCTCCGGCGAGCCACAAGTTATTCTTGGCATTTCTAAATTAATGTTATTGATTCTCACGGGAAGTCGATTTAAATTCTTGTGTAGCTTGTACCACAGTTTTTCTATTGCACTTTTTGACATTATCTTTTCAATTGGTACCATCATATTCTTTGAGGTTTTACAAGTCGCACATATAGCAAATATTCTCATCTCGTAGCAAGTCCCATTATCAAAATTGGCAAGGATTGCAAAACATTTTGCAGGGAAAGTGAGAAAAGGTAAAGAACTTGTTAGAAAAGGGGACAAATCAGGTTGAGATGAAATCAGATCTTGCAAAATAATATATTCTGGATTCGTTTTTAGGAAAATCAGTCCTTCTATTATTGTCTTTAAAATGGAATGTTTAAAATAATTTACTCGGCGAGGAATCCAAGAGACGTCGATTAAGGTGACGAAACAATTTTCGTACCTTGTATGAGCTTTTGTACGGACATTTTTGTACATTTTTTCTTTTAGTGGATCGTGCGAATCTTGTCCCGCAGTAAAGTATAGATTTACATTATCTAAAGTTGGCGTAATATTAAAACCAGATCTCAAACTCCCAATATTTTCCATTATCACGGGGTTGGAGTTGATAAGGATAAAACTCTCACGATTTAGGAACATATGGAACGTACAGCGTTCGAAAATTTTTAAGAATCGTATTGAATTTTCGGTAATTTTATCAGAGTAGCACCAGTCGGAGAAAATCAATAAGAGGAAGAACTTAATCCCCGTTAAAGATGGCAGTTTCATGATTTTTGCAAAATATGCCAAAAAACAAAACAAATATACACTTCACATTAATTTGAACGATTACATGACTAAATTGGTTGGTGAAAACGTATCAAAGTGCATAATCTACGCAGCTTGTTCTCTTTTCACCTAACTTTTCTCAATCATCCGACAAATTTCTCATTGTCATTTTCATTCAGTCATTATATTTGTCGTTATCGAATCCTGTAATAGTACACAGTTTACAATACTTACATGTAACCTTTACAACGTATAACTTAAAGTACAATGCAAAAATTACTTAGAAAAAAAAACCTCTCGATATTATGAACACTTCAATTATATTTTTTTCTTTTGTATGTACATACATAATTCAATTTTATTCTATGGTGAAAGTTGGTGGAGTGGTTTTTCATGCTAAACTTGATTTCACGATGAATGGAATTTACTAACATCAAAACTTCTCTCGCATTAGAATAATTCGAAACTGAATGAATAAGCACGTACACATGGAGAAATATATGCTCACCCACCTAAAATTCAAGCGTTCAATGCTGAATGGTCAGTGTAACGTTATTATTATGAGATATATTTTCATAATGATTGTATAATTTTTTATTACTATTTCACATCATCAGGAAATAACAGATTATTATTACCAACAACTTGTACAAGTCATCTAAATTAATAGCATTATGTATGTCAAGCACTTTTGGTGTCGTCGTACGTAAGTAGTTATCGATGTATATATTTTGTCAACCGTAAAATATATGTTTACTGATCCACCTGAGAAGGTTGGTATGAAAATACATTAACATGTATGTAAGTAATCGTAAATTTGGTGTAAAGTTATTTCCAGCAACTTTTTTGTGCGGTTATCTAATATTAATACATTGGACTTTATCATTTGTCCATCGGTAATTTCTTTCAGAAGCAGTTTGTTACTATTTTGTTGTTCTATGCACTAACACGACTAGAAGATTGATCTGCATATCGTTTCTATTTTCTCTAATTTCTACGTTCATCTAGTGGAAAACGGTAGTTCAAATAATCTATTTTGATATAACACAGCACCAAATTTAATTACTGAAGACTTGAGAATATTAATAATAACACTGAAGTTTCAAAAACTAAGTTACCTGTTTGTTAACTTACAAATGATAATAATTCTAGCAACGATCTATTTAGTAAATTAATAGTTTTTGGTAAAAAATAAAGCAAACATTTTTACAAATTGAGGAAGGAAATGTTGGAGTCCATATGCAGCGTTTTTTTAATTGGTCTTTTGAGTAAGAAAATGAAGGACAATAAGTGGTGATTTCGTGATGAGTACGATATTCAGTCTAGTTTACTTTCAACTTTTGTGCTTCCGTTCATACCAATTCCATTAGGTTTATCGGACTTTGCAGATCCATTGTTGTGGACGCCGTTTGTTGAGGGTGTAGGGCCTGTACTACCATAGGTTGATCCCTTATCAATTCTTGTCAAATTAATTAAATTGTTAAATCCAATGTATGCTTAGGAAAAAATAATCATTATTAATTTTATAATACATAAAAGTGAGGGATAGTTCACGATGAATTTAGCTTAGTTAAATTTGATTACCTGAAGCGCAAAGTATGGCAACAACCGAAATTCGAATAATTGATCCAGACAGCATTGTTTGACACAGATAAGTGCCCAATGGTATAAGAATTAGGGCAGCCCAAGAACAAAAATTGATCAACGAGTAGTATCGTCTGGGAAGTTCTATCTTTTGGTAATTTTTATAACTGGAATACTCTTCACTATCACGTTCATTTTTTGGCACAAATTCTCCGAGCTTGACGTAATTGTCCAAAACTTTATCCTGTGAATCGAGAAATATTACAACACGGTTTTCTAAGGGTAAATGCAATAATAAGATATTAAAATTAAATACCTTATCTTGAAACAGCTTCTGGAGCCATGCCGCAGCTTCTTTTTCATCGTCTGGAACTTCCGACATTGGGATTCGTCGTATTAGCAATTCAGTTCTTACTTCTTCGCCTCTCACCAAACTGAAAACTGATGGCTCGTTTTTGCACCCCCTAAAATAGTAGTAATTATATTTGATGAGTCATTAAAAACTGGAGAGTGGAATATAACTTTAATACTTACTTTTCGACGACAACGACGACGTCATAAATTGCAGGCACTTTTCCCTTCAAATATGGAATGCTCGCCTGTATAAAAACAATTCCCATTGATGACGGTTTTATTTGAAAAGTACAAATCCGTATATAACCTACCACAAATCCTTTCGTTCTTGGAAGAAGGTGATGTTTCAATAGTGGAAGTCCCTTCTCGCGAGCAACTTCCATGCTTGCTTCGTACTTTTCTTGTGTGAATCGTGTTCCTTCAGGGAACAAAGTTAACTGGAATTATAAACACAAAAAGCTTAAGTAATTTAAGAAATACTTGCATGAATATCTTCAAATATCTTTCTTCTTACCCAAATAGGATCAGGATATGCTGCGAGACGAGTAAGTTGGGCACCCATGTTACGCCTGTCCTTTTCCCAGTCTCTATCTACATATGAACATTGGATCGTGTACGGTAAGTGCATTATCAATGTATAATTATTTGATGCGTACCCAGAAACACAATTTCTTGAAACTTCCAAGACCATCCCAAAACTGGTGCGTACTGAAGAATTCGCTTGGCATAGACGCGAGCATTCTTTTAAAATGATCAAATATAGATGATTATTATAAACATAAACATAATTCGACATTACTAATGCATAACTTGAATATGTATGTAACTTACACCCAATACGCCTACTCGATCACAAATTACCCACCCCATCAACCAGTCAACTTCACACCCATGATTCAACAGCAGAAGGGCGTGTTCTTTGCCAAAATAATCTTTGACATGTGCAGGATCGGTGTATATAAAAGAACGAGATCCAGACCACCATTCCACCACAAATACGACTTCTATAAAATTGCGAGTGTAAAAAACAAAATTAATTTAATTTCAAACCTTACGGACAACTTTCAAATTAGAAAACTTACGACTGTTGAGCATGTAAGTAACGTAGAAATTGATTTTTCTGTATAAAGTCGGATTCACAGGTCTGATAGTCACGTACATGACGGCTTGAATGCAGTTAATGATAATTCCTGTAGTTAAGAACGTGATTGCCATACACAACTGGCAAAACACGAGCCCTTTAAAAGTGGCCCATGCTTTTGAGAACCTTTCCATTTTAGTTGCACCAAATTTCCGAAGCCTTCATGCACCGTATTGCAATTATTGCTGATAAAAGTTCGATGATATTTTATGGAGCTGTCTACAGTCTTGGTTTTCTTCTTCTTCTTCCTTGGGTCGTCTGAAATTAAAGAGTTCAACATTTAGAATGACTAATCATCCCAGAAAACTTCTTATCATGACGTCTCGCATGAAACGTGACAAAAAAGACCGATACGCGATGGATAGAGTAAACTCCAAATTCCACTTACAAGAGTGTCAAAGTACTTGATCCTAAACTTTGATTTTGATGTGATCACTTCATGAGACAACCAAAAGTAGAGCACCTGTAAATAAAGAGACAAGATTAAACTTAAGTGCAACTTAAACACGGTAATATTTGGTTGTTACACGTAATGCCCAGGTACAGACAAACAACTAACTATAGAAATACAGTATTAACAATAAGGCACCTACAAGTTACGGGAAAACTTTATACATAAATAAATATTTAGCTAACTGTGTATAGCGTTGGGTGCATCACATATCCGCAGTGTAACGAGGATTAAACAGGATGATGATGACCAACTGACCTCTCTGATACTGGAATTTAATAAGACCTTGATATTTGAATGCAACCAAATCGTGCATGTATGGAATATGGATTGCGATGACATGTAAATGAATCAAGCTGGATATTTATTATTCCTCCTTCAGAATAATTTACAATACATGCACTCCTACAACATCCGATATGTGTACAATTATGGAAATGAAATGACACATTATACTGACTGAATATTGAATTATTGATGAGGACAATTTCGTCATATTCTAGCTATTTTGCTATTTTTATAGGAGCTGACAAAAATAGTTTTTACCCTTTATGAATTACTTATTTTCGGGGTTTTCATCATATGATTCGCGATGGTAACAGATAACTATGTAGCTATGCTATTACACGTTTTATTAAAACTTTCATTTATCCGGGTTCATAATGTCATCTGTGAAACGTGTCTAGGTCATGATTTTTTGGTGACAAGTGTGTGCAAGTTGAGAAACGGCAAGGTTAAAGATAAGTATAACTTATTGCCGAAATTATTTCTGTGCAATTTGAGTTTAATCTTATATGCAAAAATGCGATATCATTCATTGGTCAAGGACAGCATGTACTATTTGCATGGGAAAAGAAAGATATACATAATTTAGTATTGCAAATAAATTGCATCAATGTAATGTGCACTGCTTCTTACAATTTATGCTGATTTCTAATGTCATTGCACTAGATTACTGATTCAAATGCTCGCAAAATCGCAAATAACAAGTCTAAGGAATTCTATATTTAACACTAAATTTCAGATTCCGAAATTTTACCGTTTTATTCTCACGGTACTGGCAACGACTGCAATTGGAATATATTCCTCAAATTGTAAACCCCTGTAAATTACAGGTTGTAATCAGCTTGGACATACTAAATAACGAAACGACTTTTAACTGGCTTTAACCACATGGTTAAACAATTTGTCTCAATGTACAAATTGTACATATTTAATTAATTGTACAGTACAATGAATTAAAATTATTCTAAATAGTATAATCATACCCGCAGTTCGAATAATTAATCCATACCTATTAAAATTTTACTGTTTTAAAATAGCTTTTCCCCAGACCAATAATCAATTTCTAGATTACAATTACCCAACTGACCTTATAGTTTCCGTATGCTACATCACAATTCCTTCAATCCAATTATTTGAGCACTATCAAATCCAGTATTCCATTCCAATCCAGTAAAAATCAATAAAAACCAATTATTGCCTTCTGTTCTTAAAAAAAACTAAATTATCCTACTTTTCTTATCACAAAAAAACTTCAAACAACCACTCTCACTACTTTCGAACAATGTAAAAATACCTAATTATAACAACGTCAACAATGCAATTCGACCACTTTTAGCAATATTTTGGCAATAATAATACAGCAACACAAACATGCTGCTCGATTTAGCGAGGTGAAGTGCGAGACCTTGACTTGTGTGCAGTATTATGATTCCGATGAAATTCAAACCTGGCTCAAATTCCAGATTCGCTTTCACTTTACTTTCACTCACCACTTTGAAAAAATTGATACGTTTTATGAACAAATTGAAAATTCAAAAGTTTTCGAAAATATTGTCTAAATTAAATATGTACTTACTTTCAGTTTCAGTATGCAAAAATTATTCTTCCTTCCATGTGATTCTGCATATGTATGCGTAAAGCTGCTCGTTTTCGCGTGTAATACGCAATTCGCAAAAATTCACTTATTTTGGTTTACTCCGTCCAGTCCAAAGAACGGAATGATGATACATCGTAGATACAGATGATGCCATGCTTAATTTGCAAGGGTACAATAATATCAACACAGGGCATGATGTTGCATTTAGGCATACGTATTATAGTTATGTAACTTATGAGTCATGTGCGACATTGAATTATTAACGAGTTGGATTGGACTAAGGAATAGGACATGGAAAGGCGTGGGTTTTAGTATCATCACGAAATTTCTGTGTCTGAGATGCAATCATACGTGTACGTGTACAAGTTAATTGTGTTAAATCATGCACTTTTGTACTTATACTTTAAAGTTTGATTTGTAGTGTTGTTTGCATTGTATTGCATTTGTATTGAGGTTGCATGACCAGGCAGGAGGAAATCCCGTGCTGAATCCCATAGAATTTTTAATGCTTTAAACTTCTTCAAAATAAGCAATTCACCTTAATTGTCGATTAGTGCCGAGGGAATGAATTTGTCATCAAATGTACATATGTACAGAACCTTATTGAAAAGCACAAAGTGACACGAACCTCAGAATCTGAGGCTCAGATGCAAAGTTGCATGGAAGTAACAAAAATGATTTTTGCCCATGGCAAATTTAATACGCTGTCCAGTTATGTAGTTTAGCTATTTATATACATAGATAACAGCAACGCCTCACAAAATACCGGTTATTTTTATTATCGATTTAACAACCCCCAAAAAACTAACTTGGCTAAAATCTCTTAAATTGAGATTGTCTCAATTTGATTATTTTCATGCTGCCTGTGCGATTTAGCAAAATTCCCATTTTCATGCAAAACGCAATTATTATTGTAGGAAGGAAAACGAACAAATTGAAATAATGCTGATATTCGTGAGGCTAACTGGAAGATTAAGAAATACAAATTAATACAAAATTGAACAATGCTATTATAAACTAGAACATAAATGCTTCCCATTTCACAGGTACATCCAATTACTATCTGAATGGGAAATAAACTATGTTATTAATTATTTAATGCTGAAATTAAAGTGTACATATAATTAAGTATACTAATTTGTAAGTGCATAACGGAATGACACCCTCTTTTTTACCTAAAATCCCCACAATTGTACTTTATTTATTTACTGACGAAATTCCACAAGGCTATTCATCATTTACATACTCTTCAATTAAATACTTTTCTGCAGCAGAACCCAAAACTAACCTTTTATTAGCCATGCACTGTCTCAATTAAAAGCCAGCATTCTCCTAGGTACTTACCAGTTAGAGCCAGATCAGCACTCACAAAAAAGTGATCCCAACCAATACTGCAGTGCATCATCGTAATAGTAAATTCATGACATTCCATAGCAAGAATTACTACAAAGTAAAGTTGTAATTGTTCAAAAAAATGGGGAGATTGAGATTTTAGCCAATGGTGAAGGAAGGCGTGTCTCACTTTAGCCTCACTCATATTGCGGATTCCACTGAACTCTCTCTCACGCGGCCCTCGTCCATATGCCTTCTCGTCACTCTGTCTCGTCATCAGTGCAAAAAAATTGCAATTCCGGTTTGGTACAATTTCGCAATTTCGTCATTCATTCAAGCATCACATCGTAAAACGATTAGTCGACCAGGTGTCGTTAAGTTTGTCGTAAAAGTTTAGAAGTTTAAGATAACATTTAAAGTTTAAAGTTAATACAAAATGAACGGAGAAGCGTTAAGTCTCGAGAGGAAGAAGACCCTGATCACTCGAAATCTGCAAGAAGTCTTGGGGGAGGATCGGTTAGATGCCTTGTTGAAGGAGAGGGATGTTAAGGTAGGTGTTATCGAACAATTTTTCTCGAGATAAGTTGAAAAAGTGAAGGGAAGTTGGATGGCGTGGCGTGATTAAAAACGATTGATTATTTCATCAGATTTACTGGGGGACTGCGACAACGGGGAAGCCTCACATTGCGTACTTCGTACCAATGTCAAAAGTTGCAGATTTTCTGAAAGCTGGCTGCGAAGTTACGATTCTCTTTGCTGACTTGCACGCTTATCTGGACAACTTGAAGGCGCCATGGTCGCTGTTGGCGTTGAGGACAAAGTATTATGAGGAAATTATTAAAGCCATGCTGACCTCGATTGGTGTTCCGCTGGACAAATTAAAGTTTGTGAAGGGATCCGAATATCAGTTTACAAAGTAAGGCAGATAATAACACTAATGTGAATATTATGTTTGATATGTTGGAGAAAAGTGGCGTAAACGACTAAAGGAGTGGGATTTTTGCTAAATTTGTTCATCTTGCCTGTTACAGAGAATACACGATGGATGTCTACAGATTATCATCCATGATTTCCGAGCATGACGCAAGAAAAGCTGGAGCAGAAGTTGTAAAGCAGGTGGAGCATCCCTTGTTGTCTGGTCTCCTCTACCCAGGTACGGTTTTTATTTAGAAAAATAAAATTGACATAGTTTATGCAGTTTATTTAATTCTCTGCTCACTCTATTATCAGGTCTGCAAGCCTTAGATGAAGAATATTTAAAATGTGACGCACAATTTGGAGGAGTTGACCAAAGGAAAATTTTTACCTTCGGTGAAAAGTATCTCCCACAATTAGGCTATGCGAAAAGAGTGCATCTTATGAATCCCATGGGTAAATTACTTTGTAAAACTTTGCAAATATTTAATATGTATTAATAGCGTATTAATAGCGATGGATTAACATTAATTTTATAATAATCACAAATTACAGTTCCTGGTCTTACTGGAGGGAAAATGTCCTCGTCAGAAGCAGAGTCAAAGATTGATATTTTAGACAGCCCCGAGGACGTGAAAAAGAAGTTGAAGAAAGCTTTCTGTGAGCCTGGAAATATTCAGGATAACGGTGTCCTCTCTTTTGTGAAACATGTGATTTTCCCAATTTTTGGAGAAAGTGGACCCTTTATCATCGAACGAACTGCTGAGAATGGAGGAAATTTGGATTTCTCAAGTTTTGATGCTTTAGAGCAATCTTTCGCAAAACAAGAAGTGCATCCTGGAGATTTGAAAGAGTCGGTTGGCAAATACATTACTCGTCTCCTGGGCCCAATTCGAGATAGTTGGGCTGCTAGTAAAGAACTTCAAGATTTAACTAAAACTGCATATCCTGACATGTCCAAAGCAGGTACTACGACACGAACTTCTTTTCTCACGTACATTATATTCCAATAAACCAAGATTAATTGTAAATTTGCTTATTATTATGAAATAGTGAAAGAAGATGTACTTGGTCCCAACAAGCTTGACATTCGAGTAGGGAAAATTGTCGAGGTTGAAAAACACCCAGAAGCAGATTCTCTTTACATTGAAAAAATAGATGTTGGTGAGTATTCTTAAAAATATAATGTCATAATAGAATTACATATTATCCAATCTTAATTTTAAATTAAAATTACAGGGGAAGCTTTACCTAGAACAATTGTAAGTGGACTGGCAAACTATGTGAAAATAGAAGACATGAAGGATCGGATGGTAGTCGTCTTATGCAATTTGAAACCAGCAAAACTTAAAGGCATCATGTCTTCAGGAATGGTTTTGTGTGCCTCTCAGTAAGTTTACACAATCCGTTATATATGTTATCAAGTCAAGATTTTCTCTCTAACCAACAAACTTTTTTTAATCGTAGGGACGAACCAAAAGATGTCGAACCACTGTTCCCACCAACCGGCGCCACGGCTGGTGATCGCATCCTTGTAGAAAACTACGAAGACGGAACTCCCGATGATGTACTTAACCCTAAGAAGAAAATTTGGGAAAAACTTCAAGTCGATTTGAAAGTACATCCTTCAAACGTCGCTCAATGGCAAGGAAATAATCTGTTTTCAAAGAGTGGTCCCGTTACCGCAAAACGACTTAGTAATGTACCAATTCGTTAAGGTTTAATAATTAATAATTTAGGCACCCTTTTTCCTTAAATATATTTAATTTACATGATACTACCTACAATTAGATCATTTTTAACTAGCAGGCTACTTTTGTGATTTTGTTCATTTGGGTTATTACTTTACTACATTTCGTAGCACGTAATAATTTGACCGATTGACCCGAGAAATAATTTGACAATGGTTAATTCGTGTATACTCATTCCTATTATTTTGGTTACCCTACACTAATTTCCTTTATTTAATTTTTCTTGGATAATTTCGTCAAGATAGAACGCTCAGTTGAATGAAATTATTTACATACGTTAGCTTTAAACTGGAGTTTTGATTACAAACAAAAACGGGGTAAATAATTAGAATATTTAAAATTATGAAAACAATTTTTTTGATTGTCGCAACAGATTTATACTCGTATCACACTATACTATGCAATAAATTATCTAAGTTTCTACAAAACTTTCATATCAAATTTCTCCACATCTCATTCTACGAAACATAATATTCAACATCCTGCATTTGTCGAAGGACACATAATGCGCACCGCACACGACATGTTTTTAACACAATGCCAGCCAACACAAAATTACATGCATACATACATATTTAGTTAACTAACCATAATATGCAAATGTAAACAGTCACTAACCATAAACCAATGTCAAGTGTTTCGAGCCAACACCAGCAGCACCACAGCACCTGTAACAAATGTCATTCATTTCATTACACATGTAAGTATTTGTCCTAATACGGTTCAAACTGCAAAGTGTGTTAACAATAAGACTGAAAAGGACGAGGCGGAGTGCAGAATAATAAATAAGTCAGAGGTGAGATGCGATTTAGTTGAATTTTGTCTAATCGAAATCAGGTGGAGATAACACACGCGTCAAGTGTTTGCATCATTCTCGCCTCGAGTTCATTGCAATTTATTAAGTTCAATAAATCAGTTGGTTATTAAGTGCTAATCCAGATTGGAGGATAAATGAATGCAGGTTTATTCGTATATCCATTTCCATGTACGTTAGTAGCAACAAAAGCGTGTCAGAAATTGCAAGCGTCACATTTTTTATTAAGACTTCATATAATACGATTATTTAATTGACTGGAATGTTTATATCGCAATTTATACAAGTTTGTTACATAAGTAAATAGTAGAGAGTGATGTCAAGTTTTGTGATAAAAAAGTGGTTATTGGACCCATTTAACAAGCGTCAAATCAAAGGTCCATGCAAAAATGAATGAAACTTTATTAATGTCAATGCTGCACAGTCAACAGTAAAAAAAAATCTCTCCCTCCATTCATCCTCCTCCTTCCTTCAGAATCTGTTACAGTTAAAATTCATGTCATCAACTCGTGAGTGCACGAAATTAGGCTTGTTTTAACATTAACTGCTTAAATAGCAGTAAAAGTGAAGAGTTGTTATTCGAGTCAGTCATCTCTTTCTTTAACGCGTTAAAAATAGGACGGATTTTTCAAGAAAAGACTTTTCTTCTGAAGGAAAAAGAAGACTCGTAGCGTAGCCAGCGGAAACAGCAGAGTTTTGAGAAAAACCCGAATAAATATTATCCGGGTAACAGAGAACACAACTCTCCCTGCTCAACTGCATGCCTGCCCACAGCAGAATTCGAACATAAGGAAAGTTTCGGCCTAATGACGGAGATGCATTCGGAGGAGTTTCACCACTGACTGGGAAAGTACAAAGTGTTAGAATGATGTCCGCAAAAGTGGTGGTGTATTAACCCGACGATAAGAAATCAAGGCTGCTTAATCTTTTCAACCCGTCATCTTCCCTCAAAATCTATCAATAAATATTTGCAATATCTATTTTTCTCCTGGTAAATCGCACCATTAATAAATAACAGATAATCATCACTCACTGCCAACCATGCGGAGAGGGGGAGGTTACACGAATCAGTCGTCCGTACTGCACAACGGTCCGCAGCAGCATGGTCCCCATCATCAAAATCAACAGCAAAACCGGATGGGTCCAAACAGAATGTATCATCAACAGCAACAACCCCACCATCACGCCGCACAACAGCAACACCAACACCATCAAACTCTTCAAACGCTTCAAACCCTGCAAAATCTTCAGAACTTGCAGAATCAACAAATGGTGCCATATGGGCAGCACGTCAACAACGCGAGACCACTCTCCTTCCCGTCCCCTCCGTTACAACAGACGAATAATTTGACGTCGTCGTCGTCGTCAAACTCGAATCAACAACATTACGCGGCTGGTGGTGGTGGTGGTGGTGGGGGAGGCATTGGCCCCACAAATAATCTGGTGTCATTGTCAAATTCTAATAATAGTGGGGGTGGTATTAGCAGCAGTGCAAATTATTCTAATCCAAGTACCTCTTCGTTGTCGGGGTCGATAGCGTCTTCCGCCGTGCTGGGGGGAGATATGCCACCCGTGGGTAAGTTCGTGTCGAAGAGAAAGTGTCGTAAAATAACGGGCTAATCTTGATAATCTTGAATTTCAGAAACTGTTGTTGCCAGATTGGAAACGGCGTGTCGATTATTGCACGGAATTGGGGGCAATCACACCAGAGTGAATGAGATCGGGGTTGAAATCCTGATCTTGTCGGAAGATTTGAGACGGGTCGGACCCTTGTTGGAGACTGCTTATCCAGGTAACAATTTAGATAAGTCAAACTGAAAATATGGGTAATTCTGATAACTACTTATCTGCAGACGTACTAGACCGAGTCATGAGTTCAATGAGAGACGCTTCCGCTCAGCCAAGTCTTCCACCCTCTCTGAGACTAGCGATCTTTGAGCTGGTAGAATTACGGGCTTCGAAATGGATGCTTCCTAGTGATAGTTCAAATTATTATAGGCAACGAAGAAATATTAATGTAAGGCTGCGTTGTAAATATTTAAATGATGTGAATATTTAAAAATTTGTAATAATTTACGTATCCATATTTTTTTAGGAATCCGTTGATCTAACTCCAGAAGTATCAAATCATCACTATAATAGTTCCTCCTCCTCGACTAGTGGGGCCGGAAATGCGTCGTCCGCAAGTCAGCGTGTAGTTAGTTCATCAATACCAAAACCTGAAGTAATTTTTCCGTCTGATCGGTCCCCTTCACTCGGAAGTTCGCCAATCCCTTCAAACTCGACAACTTCGGAAACTTCAAATAATGCCAAAACGTATCGAGAAGAGGTTCTAATAAAGAACTCGGATTCGGGGAAAGGTAATTTTAATTGATATATTTAATTGCAAAAACAGGATTTTGACAGTTATGGAAGTCGAGTGAAATTCCAAAATCGTTAGCGTGGGAAATGACTATACGGGCCTGTACGGGCCTGTAAATATTTAATTAGATATTTACAATAGGTATTTACATTTATACACTAGATTTTGCCTATTTTTTGGCCAAATTGGAGTGATCTAATTCGGAACTGTGACTGAACAATTTATTTAGTCCAAAATTAGTTTATTGATTAGTTTATTAATTTACAAATATTTATTTCCCCACCTTTATCAACCACGCCTCGATTAACAAAGTCCAACCACAGGACCTCAGAGATCTTATAAAATTTTGAACAATCTCCACCGCTTATGCACATGTACATACATGTATATACATAGTTCAACAAATTATTAAATAACATGCATTATTGATAAAAATACCTGGATCAAATGAATCCAGTAATTGTATTTAACCCACGATTTCCTGTTACAGCAACCAATTAAGAAATTGACGTAATTACTTCTTTAATTATGCATTGCATCCATTACAGTAATGGGCGTCCGAGGTCGACGCGTCCATATAATTGAGGCAATAAGTGATACCATAATTTCATTTGAGAAAGGTCAGAGAGAAAGTGAGAAAGCTGCATTGTAATTAAATAACTCTCTGCATTTGTCGTGTGATGACTCACATTTTGCGTGCATTTTATGACTGACTAAATACCTCACATTGTGATTTACTTTAAGTATTTGTCACGTGAAAGTTCGTTACCCTTAATTAATTTGTGACTAACGATGAGTAATATAGTCCACCATATAATTTATTAATCTATAACAGAGTTTACCTGTGTTTTGAGTTTATCATAATTAAATAAATAATCTGTGTCACTAAAAAACTATTGATTTTATTCTGATCATAGTTGCCCCTGCGGCGAAGGAACGCGTGCTATCAATTAACGGATATTCTCAGCAAAGTATAAAGTGAGGAGATACATCAATTTTACACTGATTTTAATGCAAATATACAAACTTTTTCAACTAAATACTTATCATGCAGCATGGCCAAGCAATTGATTCAAGAGACAATTCAGCGAAATTCGTCTCCCGTCTTTGACGGTCTTGTGTCCACGGGGTCAGAATATTCTGGCGATGGAGACGACTTAGATTCCGGGATGGTTGGTGCTCTCAAGAAAATGAGTACTTCCGGTGCTTTGCAGAAATTTTGCTACTCTGTCAACTTGGGAGAAGATGTCCTCCGAATTACGGGGAGCAACTTGCAATTTGTTCAGGTACACATATAAATATATCTTTTCACAGTTATGACAGTGATTTTTGAAAAAGAGGATGTTTTAAGGGACACCAGTAGATGCAATTAGTATTATTTTTCTGAAAGAAAATTTCAATAGCTTTAATTCTAGGACATTTGTGTCACCAGTAGGTCGAAAGATACAATTTTGAAATGAACAACTCGCGAAACATGTTCACCAAACCTACAAAACGTCATCTAACTTGATGCTAATTTGTGCTGGTAGAATTTCATTTTAGAAGCAATTCCAAAAACGACTCTATAATTTATTTCAGAGTATAAGGATTCTCAAAATGTTCGATTCGGCACTTAACCTATCCAGCTCAAATTTTGGTGAAAGCGAAGAAAGTCTTCATTAATGAAGACTTTCTTGGCCCAAGGTCTCTACAAAAATTAAGGGACATTCGCACAGTGATCATTTTATTCAATTCAATCAATGTAATGTCATTTGCAATAGTTAGAAATACGCCAGCTCATCTTTTAATCAAAGATCACTGTCTCATTTTTCCTTATCATATCGATCACTAATTTCACCGTGATACTTACAGGAAGCAAAGTTTGCCCTTGATGACTACTTTTCCCAAAAATACCCAGAGTTGTTCTATGCCAGTAATGATGTCGAAGACGAAGAAGAAATTTCAGAAGATGTTCAATTAGGTGAGAATAAGTAGTGGAGAGCAGGCAATTTATAATGAAAGTACAAAATACAATAGATTTACATACTTCTATTCGTGTCCTATGAACAATTAAGTTCCAAAATACGACAGAACAACGTTACTGAGTCTTTCTCTCGTTAAAACACCAATGCCAAATTTCACCCATTTGGATCCAGAAGTTCAGAACTGCATAGTTCTTACAACACCGAGAAAGTTTGATCCTGATAAATTCTGCAGGGAAATGTCGACCGGTGATTGGGTGACGCGACGGGACGGAATTTAGTGAATTGATAAGATATAAAATTTACTAAATACTAGTCATCACCAACTACTAATTAATCTAATTAAATATGTAGTAATTAAATTTTGTTACTCATAAATAAACGTTTTTCTCAATGACCTGAATGGACTGTGCCAAAATTATACATACATTTACCTAATATGAATGAATTTGGCAATTTAATTAACACGAAGAAGACTATAAAGCTTTGATGGAAAAATTTCTATGTGATGAATTTACAGCTTATTTAAATATTTGGATATTTACATGTATGTGCATGTGTGTGTTTACTAGTAAATAAGATTTTTTTTATTATGCAGAAGACCTAACGCGTAATAATAATTCTTCGTCATTCTATTAAATCCTCTTTTATATTTCTGTCAATAACGAAGATGGTCAATGGTGTGGGAATAAAATTTTAGTAGTGCAAATATTTGCCAAATTATGAAAATAAATGTATGCATTTACTTATTTATTTGCACTTTCACCCATTTTCATCATAAATTAATCCGCAAAAACCTCCAACAAAATGGTTTCAGTATTTTGCATCATTAATGACGAAACAATGTTATGTCGGTTGGATTTATTTGGCTAAAATTATTTGGACAATCCGCTCGTTGTTGACTTTCTCTCCTCTGTTGCTGGAGAAGACTGTTGTACTTTCTCTTGATCCATGCCCTCAAGCTCGTGACGAATTCCGGCCTCTAAATTAGCAAACTTTGATTCTGTGTCTACAAAACCCATCCCGTTCTGCAAAAATGTGCAAAAACGACGTGTAAACTTGACAAATTATGCGAATATTGAAAAGTAAATGGATTATATACCTTTTTGGAATGAAGAAACTGTCCATTTACAATTCGAACTTCAAATTTTCCTGATATGTAAGGGGTTGATTCACCGGTCTGATATTATTATAAAATTTCCAATAAAATGCTATACTTTTAATTGATATAATATCAATTACATTAAAAATAACTCACAATTTGTAACTGGTCAGGAAACACTCGCTCAAGTTTCTTCCTTAGATTCTTGAAACGAGCACTGTAACCTCACCCACCGCTGAAATACATACATAATCAGAAAATTAAAGTCATAATAAATCTCAAAACTAATTTTTTTAAATGTAATTGACTATTTTTAATTGTACTAATTTTGCACTTACCAATAGATTACGTGAATCTTCAACTTTTTCTTCATGCTACTATTTTGCCTTGGTGGAAGACGCCTGTTGCTGTTGGGAGTTTGTTGACCTTGACCTCCACAACATGTACGATCTTCCTCCTTGGATTTATTGCAACCTATTTTAAATCCGTTTTCTTCACACTCTTTTTCTAAATAAATATGTACATAAATACGATTTTTCTTGTCTGATAAAGTAACAGATGATGCGAGTAATAATGCGAGTGTCATGTTACGTAAAGTGCAAAACGAGACAGAGATTTCGTCGCAAAAAATGTTGCTCTGGTTTTTTTGTGCTTTCTTTCTGAATCAATCTGTAATACAGCAGAGCATCTTATTTATGGTGTGGAAAATTGTTGTCTTTTCGTACTGACTGACAAAGAATTTTTTATTAAAATCTCTTGAAATAAATCTTAATTAAAAATTTGGAAATAATATCATAGTTCATAATAACATGAAATTTGTATGATCACAAAGCCGTTTAAGGAAGAAATTTAATAATTCTATTAATGAAAATGTTATAGATTACAAAGCAGGAGAGAATAAAGTTTCACTTATTTCTAATCTCATAATTTTTCGCAAGTAAAATACAAATTAGCAAAGTGCTTCCCATTTAACGGGTTTTGGCAAGTTGTTCTAAAGAGGAGTATAATTTCCTAATATATTGATAAAATTTGTCATAAAATCTTATACATATCTTCATATTTTTTACGTGACTCTGAAATGTCTGGCGAAGGTAGCCCAGAATTCTAGCCACTTATTTGCAAACTGCACTTTTACAAAGGTGTATGTACCTTAATGCTGATACTAGAAACACTTCTGTATCTATAAAAGACAGAAAATGTGCGGATCCTAATTTTTGCACTCATTACGCATTCATAATCCCTCCCTCACTTTCAGAAATGAAATGCTACTTTTTATCCATGCCGAATTTTTGAACGCCTTTAGCCCCCATTTGACGAATGGTTATGAATGTCCAGCCCACATGAAATATAGCTGAATATGCAGACTGACATATGCAATAAAACTAAATTAATCACATTTTGGTTCCTCATTCCTCAAATATTCGTCTCTCAAGCACTTCCGTCCACCCCCCTGGAATTTCAAAACCCAAACATCGACACATCTCATAATTTCACTTTCTCTGGGCAACTGGTAAGCAAAATCTTAAATTTTAAATACATATCTTAACATCCTGTCTTAAATCTTAATGGAAATAGTCAAGAGAGCTAACGGTAACAGAAGACGTGGATCAACTTTTTGATTTAAATCGTATTTTGATTGTACAGATTTGCCACTAATTTTTCGAGGCAGTAATCCTCCTCGTTGGAGGACCCTGTCACTTATCAAGCACAATGGCCGACATATGCACCGACGTAAAACAAGAGTGCATCAACTTTTTTGGGTGGAAGCCGAGTGAGAAAACGAAGAAGAAATGGTGGTGCAGGGGGCTTATCCGGCTGAAGTACCCAGGCCTGAAGGATGCCGTCAAACCCAACGCCCATGTCTGCGAAAGGTCAGGAAATATTTTGATCTTACTTCTTCTTAGTAAATTAGAGAAGTTTATAAACCTACTATACGAGTTTTAGATGTTCAGCTCAGTTAATTAATTTCCTATTGCTTATTATACTTAATCGCCGTCTCATCTTGCCTCGCAGGCAGCATAATATACTATTCTCATCTCGCCTCATAGGCTGCATAATATCCTAGTCTCATCTTGCCTCACAGGCTGTAAAATATCCTAGTCTCATCTTGCCTCACAGGCTGTATAATATCCTAGTCTCATCTTACCTCACACACTGCATCAGAACCTAGTCTCATCTTACCTCATAGACTATACTAGATCTTACATAGTTAGAAACACTCAAGTGTCAATGACATATAGCTTTATTACTTTTGTAATTCTCAACTTAGCAATTTTTGATTTATTTTACCGAAAAGCCAGATAAATTTCAATTCAAAAACAATTTTTAGTCTTAAAAATTTCCTCCTCCTGCGTCAATGCCACGCTGAAGACGAGACGACCACCCCTCGATGGAATTACGCACAGATTCCAGGGACATTTTTTTTACATTCCGGGGTCAGAAATTTTTTCCAAGCTTCCGCACTTCTACGGGGCTTAGAACACACCTTTGCCCCTAACTTTGACCATTTTTCATATTCCGGTGATTCAAATCCAGCAAGAATGATGACCATTTCTGATTGGAGATAAAGACCGGAATTTGTTTTTTCAGCTACGCTTGGGTCATTTTTTGCACTATAAGTTCGTGCTGAGTCCTGCTTAGAGGTCCTATCGATTCCATTGAATTGGATCTCACTTAGGGGACGTACCACGGCCTCAAAAACATATTTTAAGAAATTTTACGCCCCCACCACCCCCCAATTTTCAGCAAAATGTAGAGAAATTGGCCCAATTAGCTCCCACTCGCCAAAATCATCAAAAAAACATGGATAATGTGACTTTCTGACCTTTTGTCTATTTCGGGGGATGTCTCTGACCGATTTTGCGTAGATTAAGACAACTCGCTTGTTAAAAAATTTTTCCGATGTGAAAATCTCCTCATTTGTAAAAAGAATCCTGCTCCCTTTCTTGGAGCGTATCGCTTGAGGTGACTCCTGCATTCATTTAATCTAGCTTTCCTTTGGGGTACGATCAGGATGTGGCAAGTACCACATTTCAAAGCCTTACGCCTAAGCTTCAATTTGAGCACTCGATAGATAATTTGCATCGACACTGTCAGCAGTTAGCCCGGTTTCCGTTGGAATTTCGTGCATTTCTTCGGATTTCAACCTTCAGCGCCTTCAGCATGGGTGTGGTTCTTGTAGGTTTTATAAAAAAATTTCTTCGACTGTTCTTAGTCGATTCGGTCCTAATGAACGTTTGTATAGTCCCTTGAGCTAAATTAAAGTACACCTTTGACTTTTTTATCACATGTAAAATTCACTATTTTTCTTCGATTTTTTTTGTGAAAAACTATCGCTGCCCGCTTCTCTTCAATTTCCTATATATTTATCCAGATGTTCAAAAATTACAAAGTCCCTAGTGAGTCATAATGTAAATCGCATGACGAATCTAATACACTTATCAGATTTTAATTCTGCGGCGTAGTTTTTTAGCAATCAGCCTTTGACACTTGAGTGTTTCCGACTAGGTAGGATTAGTCTCGTCTTCCCTCTTTGAACTTTCCTGTTCCATTACTAAAAAATAGCAGTACTACATAAATCCTAAATATCAGTTCAATAGTCTGTCTCACTTTCTCCCGTCAACTAGCTCAACTTGCTTTGTCTGCATACTGTTGGTTATACTGATCCTGAGATTTGCCACCGCATAAGATGTTCTAAATTATTTATTTTGGCGTTGAAATCATTCAATTTTGTGTCTGGAATTTGGAAAATTGAATGACTTTCACGTCAAAATAAAATAAACTGGTATTAAATATTATGCAGTTCGGCTGATTCGGGTAACGTAAATCGGCGATGGATTCCAACTCTCTCAGCATAACCAACAGTATATACATACATTACATAGTTTGGCATTTTTACATTTTTATTTTTCAGAATTGACTCATGCCTGGTACAATGACAGCACAATATTTCACATAATTACACGTAGGATAAGCTGACTACAAAGGAGTCGAACATTAAAAATCCCTAACATTAAAGAAAAAATTCGTAAAATAATCTAAAAAACGAAGAAAATGTGAAAAAGTACATGATTACATACATTGCACTTTGCATTCCGCCTCCTTCTCTGTCCAATATATTCATAATTTTGTCTAATATCTTGTATTTATCCATGCACACAATGTATTCATATTCATACGATCGCAATTTGTTACATGGCAAAAGGGTTGTACACATGCAAAAACACAGTCTCAATTGTTCGAGTACTAAATCGTTATGAGACTAATACCACCTCATTTAATAAATAATTAATTTGAACAATGCTCTATCACTTTATGCAGGGATGATAGATTATATCTACGCTAAAAACGCAATTTACACGCTTATTTAAGTATCAGTGATCTACACCCCACCATTCATGTGTTAATTATGATTTCCGTGTCCAGGAACTGCATGTGTGCGTGCGTATCATATTCGCATTCGTTTGCCAAAAAGTAGTGTCTAATTGAATATGAGGCAGCTTGAAATGAAGATTGAAATCGAAACCACAGTTATCAAGTGAGGAATCAGTTAGACAATACTTTTTTTTAATACATCTGCATGTATAGTACATATATACGTCTCATCTTCATCAGTTCTTAGCCAAATTAACCAACGGGTTGTCAAGCATGCAAAAAATTTGAACCCTGTTTTTCACGATATGTTTCACGATTCTATGTAAATATGTAACCCTTGTTATGCCACCATTTAGCGATATTTATTTATCCATTCATTTGGCTATTTTCTCTATGCAAACAATCATTTCAAAAACAATCCCCTTGTGCAATCCAGAAAAATATTGTCATTTATTTATTTTATCCGCTATCCTGAGCCAGACATGCAAAAAGTGATTGACAAGCACGAACTACCAGGGTCGGGATGATCATGAGCATATTACTTGCAAATTGTACCTAACAAATAATTAAAAAACCTACTCCAAGCAACTTCGCGGGGCCTTTTAAGACGGCATTATTACATAAAAGCCAGACTCTAATGAACGATTGGCATATAATTTTTAGCCCGAACTAGGGCTTATGTAATCGACCTGTCCGTCTGTCTGTCTTTCCATAACTCTCGAAGGAGTAGGCTGATTTTTACCAAATTTGATACAGACATGCATCTGGGCAACGACCGAGTTCGAAGATGGGTATTAGTGTTTCTCACGGGTCGGGTTCTTGCAAATCCGAAACCCGAACCCGATACTACTGATCCGAAACTTGAGGGCAACCCGAACCCGAAGAACCCGAAACCCGTTTGCAAGGATCCGAACCCGAACTGGCGGATCAAATCCGAAACCCGAACCCGAAAAACCGAATATATTTTAACTTTAAGGGGTGACTGGCTTTTTAGCCTAAAGGTTTCAAACAAACAATACTTCTGTAAATATGACCGAGGAATTATAATTAAGCACATTTCTGCATAAGTACATAACGCATTTTAAAATGTGAATCTTAATTCCTCGACCATAATAATGCAATCTCAAAAAATCGACCATGGATAATGGCTTTCCGTGACATTCAGAAATTTTTAAATCAGTTGAAAACTGAAAATGATTTTCAGTTTCAAGTTTCCAATATTAA